GGGGAGGGCGGTCTGCGCCGCCGCCGCTGCGCCGGGCGTCTCAGCTTTTCGCACCTGGGTTGTTTTTCTCCAAAACGTATTTTTAAAAGTAGCTCATTTTAAAGCTGCTGAAACGTGGCGCCTAGGCTCCTCCGACCCTCACTCCTGGGAAAGGCCCCGGCTGGGAGCCTGCGCGCTGAGGAAGGCCCGTGAGCGTTGGATAGGCCAAGGCGACTAGCTAACCCCCAGCAACAGGAAAAAAGCCCCACGCCGAGGAAGCTGATCGGTGCCCGCGGCGAGGGAAAAGACAACTTGTCTTCTTACCTCGAGCACCTATTGCTGCGGTCAGTAGAACAGCCCTGTGAGGGAAGCAAAGAGCCCCCGGCCCCGAGCAGAGGCGACCTTCTCACTGCGACGCTGGAGAAACACAGCCGCGGTGGTTCTCAGACCGAGATGCAGCCGTGGCCGTGGAGGCTGGACGCGACACTAACGCTGACCCTACCACAGGGGTTTGGTGCAAGAGCACCAGTGCTTAAGCACAGAATAGCAAGAGCTTCACCTGCAATGAGCAGAGCCAAAGCAGAGGCATCCTTCTGGTGAGGAACAGTTCCTAAGGAACTGTCTGGGAAAAAGTCTGCTCCGAGAGGCAAAAATGCACCACAGACTGTATCTAGAAAAGTTGAACATTTTATTGTCATTTATGAGTACACCATTCGTGATTTTAGAAATACAGACTCTTTTTCACAAAGCACTGAAATACAGGTGCCTTCCAATCTCCAAAACCTACACTACTCCACGTCTTACAAACCTTTTGTATTCGCAGTTCAAGTTTGGTCTTTGCTGCAAGAAGTTCTTCACCAAAGATGCAAAGATTTTAGTTCTAGACTGCAAGACACCTGAACCGAATTTCAAACGCCACCTGCCAGCAAGCCATCAAAACCATCACTTTAACAATATGTAATCTATGATCTTCTTGTACTTTGTGCCCATAATGGAGTTCACCTTTGAAAATTTTAAAGGTAGAGGATTTTCCAGTTAACCATCAACTGGTATTTCCATTACAGCATCTAGAAGCAAACAGATACTTTGCAAGTACTAGTGCTTATGAACAGGTTGTGTTTACACAAAACCCAGAGAGGCCTCCAGAAACATTCAAAGTTAAAATGAACAGTTAACAGTTGCAAAAATCTGTAAATATTTTCAGTCATAACACAAGGAAACACTGCAGCATCAGCGTCTTGTGTGTTCTAGCTTCAACAGTGACAACTGTGCTAGTCCTACTATTCTACACGTTTCTCCCTTCCCCCCCATTTAAGTTTTATAGTCGCAATCTGAATATACAGCTGTACTTACAGGAAATATTAAACAATGCACAGCGCCTTAAGCAAGTTCCATGTCTGGTTTTGAACAAACCATAAAAAATAAGTGACAAAATAGTTTAAAATTGGTCCTTGAGTAGGATTACTTACTTTTATACAGCTTGGAAGCACTAAATTTAAAGACACACATTTATTATTAACCAGCACAAATGATTCCGTAGCTTTTTTTCCTCTTTTTAAAGAGTGTTACTATCATGCATGAAAAGCAAGCTGCTGCTCCCAAGTGCAAACATGGAGTTTAGTCTAAACACTCTCTCCTCACGTTGTTATTCCTTCTTTCATAAATTATTTCAGCATAACCAAGAATAGAAGCAGCTGACTAGCAAAACAGTATGAAGTTCACCTTTTATGTTGTGATCCATTCTTAAATTAATGGAGTACTTTGGACCCTTAGCATAAGGAAGGTTCAATAAACACTGCAAAGGACTTTTACATTATTTAATTTATATGTTTAGAAAGAAAATTCTACATTTGAACTCGTTAACTAATGAATCATCATCTGGAGACTGTAGTACTGAAACCGTGCAAGACATTTGCAACTTCAGGAACATCCAATTACACTGTCTTTTCACCCAAACAATGATTAGTAGAATATTGCATCAGTCCTAGATAAACAAGACAGGACAAAAAGCTCCTTTTAGAAGAGCATTAGGATTCAAAATATCTTTTATATTCAGTGAAGAGAATCCACACACAAATATGCACGAAGGACTCCTTAACACAGACTGTATCACAATAAATGTAATCCAGCTGTAAGTCTTGGAACTAGACTTGTTACTGGTATGAAGCCATATTTCTTCAGAGACTACAATCAGAAGCACCATTATTAATGCTTCAACATTTGGGGTTTTTGATACATGAATAGCATCTCTGTTGTCAAGCCAGAGATCAAAAATTCAGCTGAAACAGCCCAGGTGGACTATGAGTTTAGAGCAGTCCACTTGTGCCCGAAAACCTTCCAGGCACCAAAAGCCGGCTTTCATCGTTGCATTACCTCAGTAAGGGTGGAGCCCCCTCCACTAATGCAATATTCCAAAGACCATTGCAACTAAGACTGTCGAGCCATGTCTCAGCTGAAAGGTACCACTACCAAAGGACACGATTTTCTTCCTCCCCCATCTGCCCATGCTGCCAGAGAACAACATTAAAAAGAGCACTCTTTGGTGTGGAAAGCAGGTCAGTAGAGACTCCAGGTGTGGCTTGAGGAATCCTCAGTACCAAGCCGCTTTCCACACACACAAATTCAGTCCATCTTCTCTTTCTGGACCAGCTTGGGTGCATCTACAAAATCCTTGCCGTTGTAAAGGATGATAGCAAAAGTTCCAAAGCTCGCACTTCCCCAGAAAAGCACATAGGCCAGTGTCTCAGTCCATGTATCACCTGTTAGAAGTCAGACAAACATTTTAGTTAATTATCTCCAATTAACCAGAGAGGTTTTTTTAAGTACAAAAGCAAAATATTTCAAGCCTTCCCTCAGAGATCTGCTGTCAAATGAAGTTAGAAATCCTCAGTGGGTACTGGGCTCTTTTCCTATTTCCTCACCTAGGAAAACTGTGTTTACCACACAGTTCTTGGAACTCTTTGAACAGACAGCTACGGAAGTCAGAGTCAGGAACTCTTCTGGCACTCATGTTAGAAAATTCAAGGCAAAAGCAGCAGGCAAAAACCTTCACAACTCCCAACACAGACTTAGTTTAGGGGGACATCTTTCAGAATAGGCTTATGCCTACATTTGACTTTTCCGAGCTGTATTTCTGCCCTGAATTAGGTAAGTATTTTTCTGGGGATTCATCCAGCCTGCACGAAAGCTAGATATCCACTCAAGTGCAACTAAATCTGGGGGCAATTAACTGCCCCATAAGTGACTTCTACAGGAGTTTTAACATTATTTTCTATAGTACCTGAAATTTTTCCACATTAATTATACAATGCTAGCCCTCAGTCTCTAGAGCCATGCTCAAACACCTTTTAGTACGACTGAGAAGGAATTTTATACTGAACGGCTTCCAGTAACCATTTATAGAAAGTCCACACATGAGCAAGCTAATATTGTGAAATTAGACTCCAGTGACTTACCAGCCATTAGCAAACAAATAATGCACATGGAGAAAGCAACCACCATAATAATAGGCAACTGGGGAAAGAAAAAAAAAAAATCACTTGATATAGTAGCACATATATTCCTTGATTTCCTTTAAGATGGGCTGTACTGCAAAGCTATTTACTTGCTTTGCAATGAAGTTGCTTTCATTGCTGAGTCACCTATTGTCGGACACAACTAAAATTTTGGATAGCTCCAAAATTTGGAAGAGTGTGTTCAGTAACTAGGTTAAGAATTACAATACAAAAAAAAAAAAAAGAGTGTTTGGTTTTTTGTTTTAAAAAAACCCCCCAGCCACTAATTAAACCTGTGATGTCCCCCAAATCCCATTTCAAAAAATAGGAGGGGGGGAGAAAAAAAAAAAAAGTTTTTTTGTGTGTTACAGTCTATACTTCTGCATGAAGTATGAGAAGAGATCTTCACAAGCTGCTTCTGCAGAAGGAAACAGTCATTGACGGTGACTAGTAGAATCTCTCCCTTTCCACTTGAAGCAGATTTTAAAAAAGCAAGCAGCAGTTTTTTCAATACCTCAAGGACACTCCATTTTCTGTCAAGGGAACAGTCTGGGTTTAGTCCTATAAACAGGTATCACAGAAACATAACCAGATTATAGGGACGCTTTATTACTAAATAGACAAGTTCTATTGAGCCATATGAAGCAAGTGACTAGAAGGTTGTATGTGTTTCTCCAATTGTGAAAAGTCTCCATACTCACAGCTAAGAATTTCCAGTCTTTCTTGACATGTAGAGGACTAGCAGGTTCTA